TATATGTATATATATATATGTATATGGATGTATATGTATATATATATATGTATATACATATGTATATGCATATATATATACATATATATATGCATACATATATACATATATATATGCATACATATATATATGCATACATATATATATATACATACATATATACATACATACATACATATATACATACATACATATATATATATATATACATATATATATATATATATACATATATATATATATATATATATATATATATATGTATGTATGCATGTATGTATATTATTAAACATAAATTATAGAATCCAAAAATAAGTTATAACATAAATAAACAAACTATTTGGATTATCTGATTTTGAAGATATAGTCACTGAATGTGCAAATTGAAGTTTACTATGATTTTGGTGTAAATAACATAAGAATCATGATGCCAATGCTAAAATGCTACCAAGTAAAAATCTCTAGTAGAACAAAAGTTCTTGAACCACTAGGTCCTGATTTTTCCATGGCTAACTTCTTCCAGCACAAACAAAGGGAAAAAAAAAACATTTTCCTTATTGGTATATTTAGCTGTCAATAGCCACTTAACTCCAACTAGTCACTGCTCTCTGAGCCACTGGTGGTTGCATGGTCTTCCTCCTCTTGTTTTGCTTCACAGTTTAGTTTGAGCGACAACTATTAGCAATGAGGAAGGCATTGGTGACCAACATGGTAAAACCAACAATATGAATACACAGAAACAAACTGTTATAGTAAACAGCTTACAATTTTGCACTGCCTACCAGGCTACGAGAGCAAGTCTAAGCTTTATTTCTCCACTACACCAAAATCACCTATAGACACAAAATTAAAACAGAGGCCATAGCAGGATTTAATGAATCAAGTTGTTGGCATGTCACAAAGAGATTCCAAATTATTTCCAATAATGATTGGGAATACAGAAATCTCAAACTTCCGTAAGAACACAACAGGACCACACTCTGGAAGTAATCAACCATCCAGGAAAGGTTGACTTGCCTGAAAGCTAACCTGAATACTTAATAACAAAAGAAACTTTCAAGAAAACCAGCACACAAGCAACCTTGGGTGGGGAAAATGTTCTTTATCAGCAAAGGTACTAAACATATTTCATTATCCACTGGGAAAGAAAGGCCAAACCACAAAAGACACCTTGGCTGGCCTGATAGTACCTTGGCTGGACTGATAGTTGTTTCTTCTTGTTTCTTATGCTTTGTTCTTAACCATGTCAACACCAGAGTCAGCATCAAAGTGAAAACATGACAGTCTTGAAACAAACAGCCATCCTATAAAGCAAAAGACAATCAACCACAAGAGAACAACTTTAACCCGGAATTCCGTGCAAGCCCATCCGGCATTCAACCACCGCCAATGACAAAAGTTTGCACTGGGCCACATTATATCTTGTCCATTATGCAGGTCAATTGCTTAGCAACGCGACACCACAAAGAGTAACAAGCTAGACAGCTTCTGGTAAATACAATTAAAAAAATTGATGCCCCACTGAAAAGACATCCCGAATTGATAATAGCCTCGTGCATTGGACCAATAAAACCCATCCAACTCTAGCTCGAGCACAAGTCACAAGCATAATTTCAAAGCCAAGGGTAAAACTAAGAAACTACAGTGCATTAATGACTTCTATCTGTCAGGAATATAAATCAATAGTTCACTTAACACTGTAAATTCATCTAAAAGCTTCCAGTAGATGAGATAATGATCTATTGACTTAATATGTTACTCTATCTTGATGAAGTCTCTTCACATATGGGACCTGACTTATCAATCGGTAGGCTGAATCTAAAATAGGCAGAAGGCTCCCGTTGGAAGCATCGATGTGGCTAAAACAAGGAAGCATGGGAGTTATCGATACCAGTCTTCTTCTTGGGTCCCAATGTCATGTGTAGGAAATCCATTAAACGAGTGCCCATACTATAATATGTCCCACATCTTTCTGAGACGTAACACCATTTCCTCCACATTCCTAAATGGTGTCTAATGATATCATGATTTCAATGCACAAAGTAAATAAGAACTCTTTTTCTTGTTCTGTGTTTCTTATGTCTCTAATAAGAAGACAAATAGTAACTTTTCAATCTTCTGTCATCACATAATCTTACCATCGTCATGACCAAAAATAATTTCTTTCTCAGTCCATCTATCCATAAATCATCCTCTTCATTCTTTCGACAATCTATAACAGCATCATCAAATAATTCCCAAAAAGAAATAGAACAACTCAAAAAGTTGAGCATTGGTTCTTGTAACTGGACCCAAATGAGGATCTACCTCGGATTGATCGAATCTAATCTTATAAAATTTTTAAATATAAATAATTTTTTTTTCTTAAAGAATGAATGATGAAGACATGATTTAAATCCAGAACTTTACGATAAATCATTAAGATTTTTACCAACTAACCTAATGAACATCTTTAAATAATATCTTTACTACCAGGAGATTGCTCGAGGCATGGCAGGAATCACATGTTCCTTAGGATGATGGCCACGAGTCACAACATGCGCCACAATCGTGTTCTATTTTAAGCGGTTGCACATGCCCTAAAACACTGTTAAGAAGAGGGATTCTTTTCCATCTCTATCCTTACAAAGCTAAAAAATAATGCATCAGTCCTTATAAATTCAAACTTAGCACTTATGGCTTTTAGTCCATCTACATGTATATTTTGCTTGAAATTACTAAGGAATCCACATCTCCCATCAAATCAAATCAAATCGAATATCTCTCTTTTCTGATGACACAGACATTCCATTGACTCGCAAGCCCATCAGATCCCTCTTCCCGGTCCAATCCCAATCCGGATCGAATCCACGAAGCGCAATAATCTAGGATTGAAATGAGGTATTCCATGTTCATAGAGGAGCGAGGGGGAAGAAGGGACGAGGAGCTGACCGTCGGATGAAGGAGGCGATGAAGGAATCGGGGTCGCTGGATTTGAAGGCGCGGAGGAAGGCCCACATGTTGCCGATGACGGGCCACCCCATGTCTCCCGGAGGCAGGCGGCCGCGCCGCCCCGCCCCGAGCCCGCGCTCCCACGCCCACTCGTGCGCCCGCCTCGCCCCGCCGCACACCGCCGCTAGCACCACCACCGCCAGCGCCACCACGAGCCCCGACGCTCCCTCCATCATCTCCTGTGTATATAAATATGTATATATATAGCAAGAGAGAGAGAGATGGCAGTTAGGGAGAGATTGGCGAGTGTAGGCTTCACCGTCGTTGCTGCTACTCTCGCTCGCTCTATATATAGAGGGAGAGGGAGGAGAGGCCGGCGGAAGAGTGGAGGAGGCATTTGTCGTGGAGTAGATGAGCGTAGATACTTTGTTGTAATGGTATTAATATGTGAAGTAAAATAATGATAATAATAATAATTAGTAATAATAATTATTATTATTAGGACATGGGATGGCAGAGCCTCGGGACCGTTAGAATAACGACCTCGGGAGATGAGCCTACGTGGTTTTCAAACCGAATCTGGACCGTTGATCGTGGATCATTCCCGGCGCGCGTTAGTGGGGCAGGTGATCCCTCCCCCCCCCGGGCGCCACGTGGCGATGATGTTTCTCTCGCCTCTTCTTCGAACTAAATTTAGTTTCACGTCTCAGTAATCAATCTTGAGGTTAAGCGCCACGTGGCACTCAACTATCGACAGGATAAATTTATTTTTAGGTTAATTATAGATTATCTTATATAATTATTTATTTTTAGCATTTGATCCTTATATTTTCAAAAGTTATATTGGGATCCTTATTATAAAACATTCATATCCCTATACATATAAAAATAATAATTTTATAAGATTACATTTTAAAAATAATAAAATTAAATATTTTATTTTCGTAAATATAAATATTTACTTAGATCAAAATATTAAAGATAACTTATTATAAAAGATAATATATAATTAACCTTTTATTTTTATTTTCTTATTAAATTAGGATGAGTTTAGAGCAAATAATCTTAGTTTCTATACTAATTTTGTAAAAACATTATATTTATAGTGTTTGTATATTATGTTATAGTATTTTCAATAATACTAGTAAAATACTATAACGTAGTATTAAAAATATTATAACAAAATATTTTTATTTAAAAAATTAGGTTGTAAAAACATAATATTTTTATATATCATCACAGTATTTTTTGGCATCATTAAAAACATTATAATGTATCGTAAAAATATATCCACAAAAAAAGAAAATGGGGAAAAAAATAGTTGGCTAGAGGTATTTCAGGTATTAATAGAAAAGGGAGAACTGTTTAGGAATTATGAAAATGACTTATTGGAAAAAGAAAAAAAAAACCTAATTTTTTGGAAAATTCGTCTCTTTTTTTGCGCCAAAAAAAAAAGAAAAAAAGGGAAAAAGAGTTCTTTGCCATACAGACTGTGGGGGTAGTGGCACGGTAGGAAAATAATAAGATGATGTGACAGTTTCTTCTTCGTCACATCGAAGCTCCCAGTGGAGTCCATCACACTTGTTTGCGATCTCGGACTCGTTCCTGCTCCAATAATTGCCGAAAAGATGAGGCTGTCGTTCCAACCACATTTTTCCATGGCAGAGTTGGGATTGACTGTTTGGGAACTGTGGCACACAGTGTCAGTGAGTGAGAAACTTGTCCTCCTCGAGCTGGGTGTGATCTCACTGATGATGCCGTGACTCCCTCGTTTGTTTCTCGGAACCCCAGTCACAGTTCTCGATTTCTAATCAGAGGCAACCGCATGCTCTGTGCCAAAGAGGAGCTTCCACCGTCTACAGGATTCAGCTGCTTTCTGTGAACTGGATTGTCCCACTCTCAAAGCAGCTACCTTTGGGGAGTATATTCTCACATGACAATGAAATATTATTGCTTTGATTAGTATTATTATTATTATTATTATTATTTTGCCTGGAGTCCACAGAGGTCAGATTCCAGCAATTCTTCTTATCAACTCTCTGAAAACCCTAGCTTTAACACCCTAGGAACAGGTATGCTTCCTTCCCTGAGCTTTAACTCTTTAACATCAATCACCAATTTCTTGGGTGGAGATTAGGTAACTAGGGTTTTATGTCTGAAATCCTGTTCTTCTATTTCAATTGGGACTAACAAATGTTGTTGTGGTCTTCAAGGGATCAGGATGAAGTTACCTTGTTACAAGTTTGTCTCTGAGTTTTTGCTCTCAAGTACATGTGTGACATCTCAACTGCCAGCATTAACATTATATTGATCAATGCTGGAAACTTGTCACCAATTTTGTTGCCATCTATTGATTGATTTGGTGTTTGTAACTTGTCATTAGAATATTAGATGAGTAAGTAAATCTCAAAAGGACTTCTTTTCTGAGGGACACAGAAGTTATGCATTGCAAATGTTTGCATCAAAATGATGTGGATTCCCCATGGAAGATTCAATGATGAACACCCATGCTCTGACAACAAAAGAACAGTCATAATTTCCTCAGACCTCTCTAGAGTTTGGATCACAGACTGACAGCACTTGGCAGAAACTGATCATTCTTTTCGAGAAAATGCTGCTAAGCTTACATTTCTTTTTACCTTTTGTGAACACAGACTGGTTAATTGAACTAACCAAATCACTGACCTGATCTCCACCCATTCAAACTCACCCTTTCTGATTTATTTTATATGCTGAGCATGATCCCTATTATAATGACTAGGGGTTTGTGTGATTCCTCATGCAGGAAACCCATGGATGTCTTTATGTCTTTGATTCTCTGCATCACTTGTGGCCTGCAATGATTGATACATTAAAACTAAGGTGACAAAATCTTTCATCTTGTCTTCTGGCCAAAAGGAATCTGCATGCCAAACTATGAGCCATGCAACAACAGGCACATTCACATGTTTTGTCCACCCTATCTCAATGGTTGGTTGACTTCAGGGTATTATTGCATTTAGGTGCAGGCACATTCACATCCACCTTGTGTTCTTTTATCTCATCTGGTGGAAATTGTCTAGGAGAAAATTATTAGCATGCGGTAAAAGAACACTGACATCTATGCATTTGCACCACTAAATTTGATGCCGACACTGGCAGAGATATCTCATCCTAGATTTCACTTTGACAAAAGAATGGAGACCAAGTTGAAACTGAGAGAGGATGAGTTCACATGTTTCGATTCTTCTCCAGTTTGAGTGTCCAAAAGTATATGTTTGTTCATGAAGGAACAGTTGGTTGCTGTGTCTCAGCCTCATTCTTTGACCAGTTGCTATGCTGATGAATACATTTCACCATCTGTAGAAGACTTTTTGATGACTTTGGATGCCTGGATCATGTCAGATGATCTTGGTGATACCTTTCTACCTTCATGCTCTGTACTCGGTCCAACTTTGGATCATCATGAACCAGTCTGTCCATATATTTTGTGCTTAGATCATATCAATGACCACCTACCCAATGCAGGCTGCTGCCTGAGACATCAAAACCCAGACATCTGTCTTCTTCCTGCACAATATGAAAGAAGGTAAAGCCTTTGGATAATTGCAAAAGGTTGAGTGGATAAAGAAAAGCTCACCTTTTGTTTCAGTCTCTCGATCAAGAGACTCGACATTCCATGTTGTTGATGTCATTCGCATGCTTTTCCATGATCAATTGAGATCAACCAGTTGAGTCCTTGAGGGATCATACAACAGGGAAGATCTGTTGTGATGCAAACAAGTTGAGTCAGATTGTTTGCATTGAGTGCATGGAGACTTCTCTTCAAACTCTGTTTAATAAGATGCTAAGTTGGCATTTCGGCACAAAGTCCATACAATCTTCATGCTTGTAAATCACCTTATATTAAGAGTAATCCAAAACAGGACACTATTCTTTTAGCATTAATATGTTCAGGAATCATTAGAAGATTAATCATAAGAGGGCAGATCACACTGTCCATTTCAATTGCCTCTTCTTCAACCAGAAAACACAGCCACATATGATTGATATGAAGTCAAAAGCAAAGACAAGAAAAATTACCATTCAATGCAGTGCAATCTTCTCAACCACACTAAATTATAATGGATGCATAGTTTTATAAGTATTGAACCATATCGAACGAGCCTTAAATTTTCAAAACAACAAAATAAAATCTACTGGACGTCGATAAGAAATTAGCTAATTTTATTTGAAAACTTAAATAGAAAACTTATAAGAATCAAGAGGTGTCCTAAAACCTATTAGTCTCCTTCATACTGGTTTTGCAATGAAGAAAACAACCCTGAGATACAACATGCTGACTGATCTTCTTTCAGCATCGACCAGCAAAACAGAAGGCGAAAATTTTTGAAGAGACAGAGAAAAGAATGGAGTTAGCTTCTCTTTTTTTTTCTCATTTCTTAATGGAGCTTCAATCCACCTTTTATGAGGGATCAAGCATGAGACTGTTGGGCCTTTAATCTCCCGAAGGGCTAAAAATAATTAACCAGCTGCAAATCTCAAAAGAAAATGATCAGATAGCAATAAATTCGATCAACAGAACATCCAAATCAATTAAAACAAAACCGTAAAAAATGTATTGTACGATTTGTGACTGCTATAATGCTTCTTCAAGAACAAAATATTGGAGAGCTTCAATATGTAAAGTTAAAATAAATCACTCGAAACCTAATTTCTTTTAAAAGAGACTGTGTAAATGAGAGGAACCAAAAATCCACCTTTTAATCAAGACGACAAGATTCTCCAGGAATAAGATAAAAGCAAACATATAATTCTCAAATATAATTCGAGTCTTTCTTAAGGAAATGGTGGAAAGTTACAGTTCTAAGTCTGACATCAAAAAGGGTAGATTCCAGCCAACAAAACCATTCCCTTAGATTACAAGTTGCATCGGTTAACACTAAACAAAGACATATCAATACAGTAATACGTTCATAAGTACCAACTTGTGATATCTAAGCAGCTACATATCAGTGTGCTACTATCAAACAGTAGCTTTAGTAAACAAGTATTAGACAATCAAATAACATCGCATCTAAAGTTGTAAATTATCCAAATATTGATTAGAAGTTGTTTGTAAAGATTAACATTAGTCAACAGAGCATGTAGTCATAATATAACATTTACGTGTTCGCAAATAAGTATTGAACTATATAGAAGAGGGAGGAACATGCCACCTGTAAGTTATAGAGCAGCAGAATATACTTTGATAGCTGTACATATTTTACATAGTGACTAGATTCATACTTTCAGCAAACAAAGTTGGACCTCCAAACTCATTCATAAGTATCTACTCCCACACAAACTTGGTAAACATTAAATGTACAGAGTTTCCACGGGCAAGAGTTCCATCCTCTTTACACACCGAGATTTTCCACTAATGACGGAGAAGGTTTAACATCTGGAGATTGCATATAAGAGATGGAGATCAGCTTAGACCTATACTCTTCTGCTCCACTGCCGACATTTTGGTCACCAACAGCATCGGCAGCAACAGGTGTCTTAGCAGGAAACCCATTTGGCGCATGTATCACATCCGGAAGAGACTGAGAGATCGTCATCAGTGACTCCCGCACAAATTCCAGAGAGACCTCCTTCTCCGGTGATATCTTATTGAAATCGTAATCCATCTTCAGCTGCCAAAATTCAACTTTTGTCATTTTTTTAAGGTATGGTGGTGACATTTTCTCTCGCTTTTAGTGACAGTAATGCTAAATGCCAAGGTAAACTAAGGAATGGGTCTCCCATTAGTATGATCCCAAGAATGCAAATAACCTATCATGTAGTCCGGTCAAATTTGCATTAGTACCTGAGATGCATTTTCATTGTCTGATACAATCACTAAATACATTAATGAATTAGTCCAAAAGGATAAAAGGGTGCCTACGACTATAATCAGCATCTAGTACGAAAGATTCATAAGAGTAAAAAGATGCAATTCGATATTACGAGATAGAGATTACAGAATAGCATACAAGTCAGTTCTTTTAGACATCTCTATTCAATGATTAATATTACTAAATAACTAGTGGATAACACACAATACTTGTGACTGGCACGGAGATGCTATTACGGCACCATTCACTTGCACTTTCATGTTTTTACAATGATAGTTGAAGAAAATGGCACTTTCATGTTTTGACAAGAATTGCAGAGAGGTTCCACAAGTATTCAAAGGAACAACCAGGGGGATTACTCTATCTTCTCCACTGCAAAAAGCTTAATATCACCACCAATACCACTATGTTGATTTGCTCGGTGCTGCAAAATTATCACAGCATCAGCGTGTGCACATGTACACTATCTCCTCCATGCTTCCCTTCTGATGCCTGCCTAAAATCCATGCACTTAACCGCTTAAGGCAGACTAAGACCATATACGATTGACCGTCACAAGTCACCAAAAGTATGTAAGAGCGAACGAACGCCTTTTGACTGTAGGAAAGATTTAATACCGAGGTGGATCTCAAAAAATATGCAACAACAAGGCTTTGACCTACTGGTTGTTTCCCCTCTTCATCTCAAGGAGGATCCAGATTCAAGTACCTGCAGAGATGGTGCCCAAGAATTTGACCTAGCAACTCTCTATGATGAAAATAATACTAGTTTCCAAGTCAACCCGATCGGACGGTGTTATATCACATAGTCCAAATCTAGTTCCCATATATTGCAGACAAATCTGTCAGAACCATTCATTCTGTAGACACAAGAAATCATTCAATCATCTTAGATTTTCCATAGAACTAAACATCATCAAAGATTTCTCCCCTTTACGGAGTTGAAATCAGTTTTGTTGAATTACAACAGGATGTACAAATCCCAAACCACCTCCAAACTTCTCTGTTCAAAATCTATCTTTCGACTATATCAAGAAAGCATACCGAAGCAACCAAACCACCAAACTCAAATTCCATGTACACATGCCTTCCGACCAAACGAAACAATCAACCTAAAGAACATTAAATTTCCCAGATCTTCAATTTGCCTAAAAATCAACCAAACACGGAATCAAGCATAAGTGATGAAGAAAGAAAGCAACAAGATCTGCCACCTCGAGCCAAGATGTCAAGAAAGGTCATGCTCCGTTTAGGTTTAGATTCTTGAAACTAGAAACAGGCCTACATCATAGATAGATAGATAGATAGATAGATAGGGAGAGAGATCGGGTTCATCGTACCTCTGGATGATGAGAAGACGAAGAAGAGGCGTGGGAACAAGGGTTGATCCAGCTCTCCAAGAAGAAATCGTGAGGAGTTTTGGGGGCGATGGTGGAAGATGACGTTGATTTCCTGGTGAGATGGGTTGACTATTTAAAGATTCTGTTTCCCACCTTTACACGCTGTTAGATTGCGTCAAATCCAAGGAAGCCTTGTAACAGTATAACGAACCATTATAACGGTTTGTTATGTCTTTTTACTAAATTTTTAATTATATTCATAAATAATAAATTTCATGTCGATTTGTTAAAGAAAGAAAGAAAGAAAGAAATCAGTTCTCAAGAAAATTACATTCCTAAATCAGATTGACGTATCCTTCACAGAAATAGTTTACTTATTTATCTGTTCGTTCCATCTCAATCATTATTACCAAACATAATTTCAACATAACAATTTCCATTTTGAGAATTGATTTATGCTGTGATCTATCTTCTTGATTGAATACTTCCACAGACGCACTTTACAATCACTGCACTTTCGGCATCCCACGCTGTCGGATCAGTCCAATTTCCTCCGAGATTCGATTTCAAGAACTGCATGTCCATCTCAGAAATGTGGAGCGGCAGTGATGAGTCGAAGGTAAATCCAATCTACAAGCTTTTTAGATCTCTTCCGGCAGCAATCCAGCGTTGGTGAAGTTTAGCACCCTTTCCAGTTTTCGCTGATCGAGCACTTCAACTTCAACCATAAACACAGAGCTTACCGGGCGATGATCGGATAGATTTAGCTCAGATCTCCCGTAAGATACCTGTTTGATTCCCTTTCCCAGAAACAGAATCCGATCGCACCTGAAACATCGCAATTAGCTGACAGATTTCCTGCAGAGAGAGAGGGTGAGAGAAAGAGAAAGAGTTACCATGCTGGTGATCTCCTCTTCTCCCCTTCTCTGGCAATTTCTCCGACGTATCTGTCAGAATTCATCTCATACTTGTAAGTAGGAGGAAAAGCAATGAGCCCTTCCTTCCACCCATCAAATATGTGGCCGCCTCTTAGCTCATTGCTCAGCTGCCACAGAACCATCAGCAATCACTAACACTAATCGTCTGTGCCACGAACACATGAGCTCAGAGCAGCAGTACCTGATCAAAGTTCATCAGTTCATCCCAACACCTCCCGGCGACTAATGCTCTTATCTCAGCATCAGGCATGTTGAGGCGATAATTCAAGTCCCCGAACCAGAAGATGCGACTGTTTCGATCGAGAAATCGAAGGTTTCAGTACCTAACTCGATTCAGAAACAAGAAAAGCAGCAAGAGAGATCCTACTCGTGCGAGGGAATCGTCTGTGGATGGTCAGCAGCGTCCAGGGAAGCGAACCTCGTGCGATGGAGGATGTCATGGACGTCGGAGTTGCGCTTGTGCTGATCCGCCTCCGTGTGGCCGGACGTCAGGTGAGAGCAGACGAAGCACAAGCGCGATTGGAAGAGCGTCATGCTGACAGAAACCGATCCCTGCATCATTCATTCGCCATGAGATCGATGCTCCCTCGCCACCTGCATCCATCATCTCACTACATGCTCTTGCTTGCACTAACCTTGTTGCCCATGTAGCCCATGAGTCCAACGCCGACGGGGGAAACCTTCAGGTTGTTGACATGGCGGCGCAGCCTACTGCAGACCCAAACCGAGACGTAAACGCCCACCATCTGCTTGCTGACGACGCGGAAGTATCGTGAGCTTGGCTTCGACATGTCGTCGATCGAATCCAGCACATCAGATGCTTCTTGCTGCTCCGGCCAGATCATTCCTAGATTCCCTGAGCTTTGACACACTCTTCTCAGTCCTGCGTAAACCTGAGCTTCTTCCACTCCACTTCTAGCAGTACTGCTCAACACCCTCCTCAGTCTCTTACCGGAGACCAACACTTGCTGCGGTGCATCGAACGAATGCTCAGGCCAATCTAACTCGAATCCCTTGTGCAAGCTAGTCTGATCGGTTCGTTCTTCTTCTTGTGTTCCATCGGTGTGGGGATCAGTAGGAGATGAGATGGATGCAGGCGAGGGAGGAGCAGTGTAGCTCTTGCAGAGTGTCTTCGGCTGCGAAGATTTGTTGAGTGTTCTTCTTATGATTGCCTCCCATTCTTGGATTGGCCTGTTGTCCTCTGCTCCAAGAACATTCCCAGCATTCAAAGGGACTACTTCCTGGAAACTGCAGAGGAAGATGATCCGAGTAAACTCGGAAAGGATCATCCAAACACAAACTACATGAACGGCAAGCCACAAAATCTACGTACCCAAGAACATACATATCAGCAGGTTGATCAGTATCAAGCCACTCTTCAAGCTCAAGATCCTGCAAAGGGAGCCTTCCCGCGACATTCCATGTGCCAATCATCACCCTTCGGATCAAAAACAGAGATCAAACACAAGTGAAACAGCTTCCATGATGCTGATGAAGCAAAATCTCAAGAACTCAAATGTGAATTCAGAGCCAAACCTCACATCTTTGTTGGTGATGTAGTTAACTCGCAGGGTTTCCGATTTCCTTCTTCGAAGTCTTGACAAGGTGACCCTTGTTTCTGTTTTCAGAGTGTTAAACAAGAACAAGAAATCGTTGATCGATGACAAATTAAGCAAGATGTTGTGTTCTCATTTATCTTTACTATCACTTCTCTGTTGAAATCAGCTTAAATAGTTTTGTCAGCAGATCATGTTGAATTGATATGTGCTTGTTCTACACTCAACAACAATGTAAATAATGAAGAACAAATGAACAAAATCCTCCCTCTGTTGATGTGATGCACATGCAACATAGATAGCGATCAGAAATCTCACACTAATTGATACATCTACAGAGAAAAGTTTCGGATTACATCTAACTTTGAATCGAACTGATTCATTTTGCTAAGCCAAATTACAACATAACACTTGAACTTGGCATGATTCATTAACAGCTGAAAATTATGCATCGAAGAACAAAGATGCCAAAACCTGAAACTGGTCCGAATCCTATTTATACCCTGAGATGATCTTATTGCAAGAATTCATGCTACAGGGCAATCCATGCAAGTGGAATGCTTTCATGTGGGTACCTGAGGCTTGAGTTCTGCACTCGTTCTTGCTTAGGAGTGTTCCGGGAAATGGAATTGTATAGGAGAATCTTGCATCTTGAACAACGGAAGAGCACGAGGGTAGTCAGTAGCGTGATGTGTAACAGAGAAGAGTGAGGATCATTAGGCAAACGAGAATACAAGCTGACCATCATCATCATCGCTGCTCTCTGTATCGGCCTCGTCCTCGCTGAATTCGTGCACCTTTGGCTTGATGTTGAGCCACTTCCTCATCACGATCGAGGGCCAAAAGGACTGAGTCAAACGAAGCAACAACAGTAAAAGATTTGGCCTTTGTTTCCATGCCACTTGAATCGGCAAAAGAGGAGAAGAGAAGAGCACCTCGGAGCGCCTGCCTTTCCTGGTTCTCATGGTCTTCCTTCTCTTCTGCAACCGGGATTCAGGTCTCAGGAGTAGGAATCCACTTGCAGCATTAAAGCAAACACATGACGACCGAGAGCTATTTCCTTGGGGAAGAGTCTTCGGGGCAGCGATGAGCTTGAATCGATGCTCGAGGCAGGAAGCTAATTAGCGTAGGACCACAAGGTTCTCCATAAAGCGATTCTCTCTCTCTCTCTCTCTCTCTCTCTCTCTCCCCCTTAGCTGAGTATGAGCTTTGACGCAGAAAAGGATGAGTCTCTCTCTCTCTCTCTCTCGCTCTCTCTCTCTCTGTCCCCCTTAGCTGAGTATCATCTTTGACGCAGAAAAGGGTGAGTCTCTCTCTCTCTCTCTTTCTCCGCCCTAGTTGAGCAACATCTTTGACGCAGAAAAGGATGTCTCTCTTTCTCTTTCTCTCTCATCTTAGCATCATGCTTGACGCAGAAAAGGATGAGCGTGCACTTCCACAACGATCAACTTGCCAGAACAAGTGCATGCATGGAGCCAAACGAACATTCTAATGGTGCACCGGAGATGCAGGACCATGCGCCTACCTTCAGGTGAGTGGAGAAGACAGCGACGGCCACCACCGCGACATCGCGAACGAACCGAAAGCGATGTTCTTCGAATGGGAGACGCAGGTTTTCTCCATGATCCCGACGATCCTCTTCGCCATTGTGGTGGACTCTTCCTGTTCAGACATCAGACTCACACCTGTTCGGGAGTCCGTTCATATGGGGAAGCAGATGTAGGACTCAATCTGCATCGCCACTTGAAGGCATGCATGCCGTAGCTGAAGACAGCTACAGGATGGTCCTGCCCACCTTCTTTTCCTTGTGTCCTACAGTTCACGAATGAGAAACGAAGGCCCAGAATTCACAGAGGAGGATGTAGCCAGGTAGAAGGGACCAGAGATTTAAAGAATAAAGATAAGGATACTTTTGGATTTGTGGGCTCAATCCTAAACAAATGTTTGGTGAGGTGATGCCAACTCTCTCTCTCTCTCTCTCTCTCTCTCTCTCTCTCTGGGGCCATGGATGCATGCTTGCACTTGCAGATATCAGAGAGTAGGACAAGAAAGGAGAAAAGAAGAACAAGTTCACTTGGCATGTGATTGGCTGGTGTAGTAGTAGAGAGGTAGGGAGGGGGGGGGAAAGAGTGTGCCAAAAGATGGAGATGGTAAAGACATGCGAAGTGTTCAACAGCTTTGGAACATATTCACTTTTCTAAAGGGCACGTCCTTATCTTCTTCATTCAAGGTTGGCTGACCTAAAATGAGGAAAAGAGAGGTTGAAATGGCAATTGAAATCTTTACGAGTGTTTGTCAATAACTCAAGCTTCAAACTAATTGGAGATTACATGTGAAAGGCTTCTCTTACTTTCCTCCTCTTCAAAACTTCAATCTAAAGTCAAATTATCAATCAAATACCCAAAGAAACTATCTTTCCTTAGTCTCATTCATCAACTCTGACACTTTAATGTTCATTCTTTACTCATCTGATGGTACCTTAACTTCCATCCAATTATTCGATTGCTTTCTTGATGATACTTAACTTTTTTGACTCTCATCTAATAAGATCTAAATCCTCATTGTTTTCAAAAAATAGATCCATATCATCGAATTACATTTCATGATCCATTTTATGTTTAATTTATTTGAAATGAATTTAACACCAAACACATCATATGTTGGTTGTGATCTTCAATCAAAACCTCAGTGTTGGAGTCAATTTCTTCGAGCTCTGATTGGGACCAACAAGAAGAGAAACATTACATTAAATGATACGCGTGCTCATAAAGTGCCACCCACCCCCAAAGATTTGCTATGAGAGTTCATATGTATAAGGTCCACAAGAACAGTCATTCCACTAAATTAACATTGAACTGAATGGAATTAAGTGACTTTTTGATCAACTACTCCGCATGGGTAGACAAAAGTCATCAATAGATGGGTTGGAAAGTAAGCAAAGCACTTGTTGTTTCAAAATAACTAGCGGTGTCTCAAATATCAACAGTGATGCACTGTGAAGCCAAAAGATTTAGCAGAAGATATTCATGCACTTACATAATTGATGCTAACTCAAAGCTGATGATAGAAATTCCAATGAAAAAATCTCACAAAGAATGGTACACAACCTTGTACTAGACATAAAATAATTACTGAGGAGTCGATACCGATATAAAAATTTCAGAGATCACAAGAAAAATTGACATAAGATTTATGTAATTTGACACTCTTTATCTACATTCATAAAATAAACCTTTGTACATTGTAAAAAAAACTTTTCTCGACTTCGAGATGTCGTAGAGAAAACCTTGAGAATACTAATGACGCTTTTATTTGTTTCCTAAGTAATTGAATTATATTAGGATCCTAAAAATACTTACCAATCCTAACATATACTAGACATAAAATAATTAATTAATTGATTTATATATTTTATTTATGTATAAAAAGGTACATATAACCAAGCTATCAATTGGGGTGTTGTATATGCATTAAGTTAGAAATATTTTGGGAGATTTTTAATTCATATTTTATAACTTTAAAGGATTATATATATATATATATATAATTATTTCTTAGAAAGATAATTTCATGTTCATATTGAAAAGGAACAATCTCAATCAGATCATTTTGTTTCATCTTTTTTAATCAATATTTTTTCCCTAAAAAAATAATATCAAATTAATTTGACAGATATTGGAAGTAGGTAATGTAGGGTCATATCCGACAACAACAAGAAGAACATTTTGGACTTTCGATACTTCAATTGTGAAACTGAGGAGGTGGAGAGCAACTCATTGGTAATAATTGGATGGGCATACAGCATCAATATTCATCTTCATTTCCTTTTCTTGAACCATAATAAAAGAAATAATACTTTTGTGGTACTTCATTCATTCAATTAGGTCACTCTTCAATTCATTATTTAAAGCGTGCTTCTTGACACACTTCTCCCATCTAAATCATATCCCTTTCTTAGCACTATCTAATCAAAACATCTTTTCGTTCCATTAGATACATAGACACCACTTTTTGACTCCAAACATGTCTCAAAATATCATGTATAAAATAATCCTTGTGACATGGCACAAAATGTTGAAATATTATATATAGGCAAAAAAAATTGTAGTATATATACAGTAAGTATGCTACATTTTGTGGCAAACTATGAGTTAGGGCAAAAAAAAAAAGAAAGTATAGTACATTGGATATGGAGTCATGCTGAATGAATTGAACCATGGAACACTTTGGTAAATCGGAAGAACTTAGACAAGAGATTGGAGGAGCTACAAGGCTCGTCGGGCACTACAAAAAGCTGAGAACCGGTTCTACCATAAGAAGCGGAGCTGTGAGCTTTATAATTAAGATTTCTAGACAAGTGAGTGCTAGAAGGGGATAAAGCTTGCCTAGTAGGGCCTGCGATGGTGGCTTTGCGATGCCAAGTAGTGACTTGCAAGCCTGTGTAACAAAGTTGACAATTGCCAGGGCATCTGTGCAGATCAAGATGTTGACCCTCCGGGAAAGCCATTGCATAGATACACATTGGATCTGAAAGACGTGGTTTTCAATGAATTATGTATTTAGAATTTACTACGAAGAACATGAAAGTGAAACTGCATACTCATGTACTGATCCAACATGATCTTCCCAAGTATATCCATCAGGAAGTATGCCACAGTAAATAAATACAATGTATATAAGTTGTAGGTTAATCTTAGACATCCACGCTACAAAATAACATAGGCTGTCTGAGACAGAAGAATACCTGCAGAAACAGCTGATAAAACATCAGAACTTGAACAATAACAGCATCTACATTTTAAAGTACACCACTATCACAAATTAAGTTATTTAAAAATTTAGATGTCTTCTGCTTCCAGGCTCATATTCAAGCTCAGCATGGCTAAAATAATTGATGATAAGCAATCTGGATGACCAAGATTGTCAAACTTAGAGCTGCAATAATGTGAACACTAAGATAATTAATAATTTGTACTTGGGAAGGCTAAAGTATATTTGCAGGTTGAGGAACATTTCAAACTCGCCATGACAAAAAAAAAAGAAAAATGGTAAAAAAAAAAAACCCTCAATCCAAAAAATTGTGCCATTGAGTTTCTCACTAAGGGGCATTTGGTGTCTGGATAGTGGAAAGTCATTTTGCTTTCAAGGCAGTTAGATATTCTACTACATGTTCAACGAGTGGATCCTCAACCCAAAATGGTTTTATTAATTTCCCATTAAAAAATCCTCCTGGATTTCTTCTAAGCTAGTTATGCATATGAAGAAGACCTACGTCCTAGATCATTGTTGCATATATGCAAAATATAAATTTGTTCCTTTAAAATGATGCAATTCATAATCTGTTTGAAAAAATAAGTTTAGTACATGGGAGTAGAAGAGCCTCATTCGGCGTGCCATTTATCTTATTCTTCCCTCATGTCTCCCGGTGTTACTCTCTTGTCGTCTGCCTTAGCTTTAGACTAACCTAACCTTGATGCCATCAACAACATTGAAGCCTTACCAATCAGGTCCTATATAATGAACAGACCTTCAGCAACCGATGCACTTTGTTACTTTCAAAGATAATTCAAACAAAAGGAAAGATGTCTCAACTTTTTGTGAAATCCAAAAATGTATGTCATAAAGGCCTCCAAGAAAAAATTGAAAATTTCAGTTAAGACCTTGAGAGGGCTACTACCTTGATATTATCCAGCACAAAGATTCTAATTAAACCCATCTAACACTTAAAAATCTAAACATTCTAAAAAATGAGCAGTCCACACATACTTGGTATCTTTGCATATGCAATGTACCCAATCTAAAAGTTCAGCATCATCTCCATGAAGATTGTTCCTGGTAAAATAAATTACTAAGGATGTACAACAATTTCAGGTAATTTTGTGATGTATAAAGATTTATTTTTTCTACAGTAAAATAAGATCAACATTTACTAATCAGTCAGATGCTTAAGCTGAAAACTTGATCAACAATGCTATCCAACAAAGCAGCATACCTGTTATATAATGCAGGTTATTATCACCGCAGTCCACAGCAGCTCTACTCAACCTGTAAATGCATGCCAAAAAGTTAGAATAAAGCAAGAAATTATAGTTTATAGATGGGGACACATGTTTCTAATTTATGTGGTCATGGGTATAAGCCAGGTGCCGGAAGTGTTCATCATGTTTTCATTGCATCATGTGCAAATAGATTGGTAGAAAAAAGGCAATGTGCAAGATGAAACTGAATGGAAACATTAACCTGATCTTCTTTGCAATACTAAAATATCAGTCTAATTTACATTAGTGTAGATATTAAGGAACAACTTTCTCCATAGACATGTTACTGTTTGACACAATAGTCTACTTATATTATGGATTGCTGAACAAATTTGCCAATAAGCATTGTGCATGATAGCAGCCTCTTGAAAATGTGAATGCACATCTTACTTTCACATGAAATGGGTCGAAAACAGCTTTTACAGCTTCAAAGACCTCATCAATAGGCTTCAGAGCATCAACCTGCACCGAACCCAGACCATTAATTATTTATAATTATATCAGGAAGCTTTTATAAAAATAATCTGAGAGTATGATTATTCGAATTCCTGCTATATTGTAGACATCACATGAGTTCATCGTTTTCTTTTTGTTGCATAGTTTGTATCACATCTTGTTTTGGAGTCTGTGTTCCCGAATCAAGAAAGGTAATAACAATTACTAACAAACAAATAATCAAAAGCTCTCTCTATTGTGTGTATGATTGGAATAAGAAAAGATGACCACTCAACTCAG